GGTTCTTGTTTTCCGGCTGGGGGGGGGGGGGGGGAACACAAATAACTGACAGACAAGTGCCACTTCCACATGTGTGACATTGCTATATTCCTGTAAAGTCTCCTGCAGGAAGACCTACTTAAAATGTACCAGAGTAACTCAGAAACTCCATTTGCCTGTTACACAGTGGTATATATTATGCACCATACAAAACAGTAACCATAAAAAAAAAAAAAGTTCCTTGTGCATGTGTTCCTTAGCAGAACCTAACTCTAGTCCAGCTTGCTTCTGTACTGTGATTGTGTCTGAAAAGACTTAACAGGCCACTGGTGCAAGTAGTGTTACAGATAAACTTGGAAGAATTCTAGTTGTTTGAAGACTGGTCAGCTTTATGAAAACATAGTTTCCAATTACTTAATTGAAATACAGTAATCCTTTTACAAAAGTTGTTTGGGGCATCAAAGCGCACTGCTGAAATAAATTCTTACAAAAAGTTTAAAAATGCACATAAAAAGAAGAGTATCTTCATGTTTTCTTCTTTCTTTCCAACACTGTAGGAGGCTTAAAGATTTCCTTTACATTCATCCAGACTCCTTTAGAATAAATGTTATCGTAGACAACTTGTCTGTCATGAGGCTGCAATGTTGTATGGTGGGAACACCCATATCTTCTGGATTTATACCATTCGTTGGAAGTTTGGTTGGTTAAGGTCAAATATAGATTGAAGCAGCAGTATGCACCCAGCACAAGCGTGAGAAGAATAACAAAACCAAGCATGAAGACAATCCTAGGAAAAGTCAAGAAAAGGTGCTGCAAAGAAAGAAAATAATAACTTAGTTAAAAAGTTGGAGCATTAAATCACACAGAAGCATGTGGCCATTGCAACAGGCCAGCTGAAATGCACATCCATAACTGTGCAGCCCCAGAAATAGGGTCACAGCCCTGTCCCCCAACCAGCTCAGTGATGGTCCATCACCTCTGAGTAAAGCACAGAGATTCCCAGCAATGTATTTCCTCACAAGTCTTGCTTATGTGCAGGAGTATCTTCTACACCCATCAATCTCTGAATGTTTGTATTATTTCATGTTAGAATTTTGCTTGTTTGTTTTTTTGTTATTTAATTAAAAAAAATCATTAATGCAGATCATCTGAAAACAAACTGCCAAATGAAGAGGCTACAATCTGGTACAACTTCAGGTTTTGGTGACATGATACAGTTTAGGCAGCTCTTTTCTGAGTTAAATTCCAATACTGGGGAGTGGTAATGGTACTTCTCAAACACGAGCAAACATTCCCTGACCAAGATCTCTTTTTCAGAGGGCAAGGCTGAAACATCTGTTGTCTAGGATGAGGAAAAGACAAAGCATTTACTACTTAACACCTCACTGCCATACTACAGAAAGGGATGAGGGGATTGAAATGCAATTGCCTCATGTGCTAGAGAGACTCAAAGTCACCCTTTGCATGTATGTGAGAGAAAATACTCAAATATCTAAATTCCAGGGTAGTAAGATCCTGCTTTAACATCTCCACAAAGGTATTTCAAGGATTTTTAACTGTTTCCCAAATATTACTACAGTAGATGGTCATTGGAACATAAAGCCATTCTTTATGAGTCAGATCTGCTGAGTGGAAGCAGTCTGGAGACCAAAATATGAAAAATGGGAGAGCTGAATGAAGTGCTATGAGAAAAACCCCATATTTTTACAGTATTCTGCAACAGCAGTTTTCTAAACTTAATTAGCCCTGTAAGTTGGTCAAAACCTGCAGTCTGTCCACATTCTGCCTGTGAGAACAGGTGGACTTAAAAGATTCCTGAAAGCAAAGACCGAGATAAGCCTTTTTACAGACTAATAACCCAGGCAACATAAACTTACCTGAATGAGAAAGAGAATCTCAACAGCATGCTCTTGTCCTTGGTCATCAACGTAACTTCCATGCATCATATCTGACAGCAGGACCACTTGGATGAGAAACGCTGTTGTGATGGTTGCAATGGTTGCAGCCATGGCACTCAGTGTGAGAAGGTAAAGGAAGAAATATTTTGCATTGAAGGCACCAATGCAGTTGTTGACCCACACGCAGTGGTGATCAAAACGATGTATGCACATACTGCAGAAACCTGACGAGGAGAGAGCGACAAGATAGTTCAGTTAATTGTTTTTTAAGTAATCAAGTTGATTTTTACACAGTTTAGGATAGTTTTTCATCTGAAAAAATCTGAGAATTATGGTCATGATGTAGCTGATAGCTTTTTAAAAAAAAAAATTAGTTTCAATTGCATAGTAAAAACCCCCATTACTAAAACCAAAGACCTGTATCTCATTCCTTCTTTTATTCACCAAGCCTGCAGCTCAAAGACTTTGGTTTCTCTGACAGTACTGCCTAGCGAAGCGTATGAAAAGTAGAGATTGTAGCTCTCTGCTTTATTTTAGATGGTAACAGCAAATTCTGCAAGAGAAACACAAAATCCTGAACTCAGGTCTTGACAGGTGATCCTTTTTCATTTAAGTTGTAGATGCGCAAAAGCTTGCCTGTTCCTGACCCAAAGCGATACTCTCAGAACAGGTAATTTCTGTGAGAAAAATAGCAGCAAAACAGTTCCATGGGTGGGCAAAGGGTAGCTGTGATCTGGGACCCCAGTAAAATGAACACAATCCTGTCTGCATCAAGCTGGATAACAGAACAGACATAGTGCGAACTGCAGTTATTGATGCAGAATTAATTTGGGAAGGTATTACTGTTATGCTTATCAAGGAAGTTAAGATTCTTACTACAATGTTTTGATCTGGCTGGCTTTTCCATGTTGCACGTAGGACATACGATGCCTTTCTGAAATAATACACCATCATATGCATAAATCTTAACGAATGATGCATGATTTGATTTTGTTATTACACCTGTGCAAGTTACAAGAAAAATAGTAAAAGTAATGGTATTATTTGTAACATTTTTTAGGTTCCATTTTCAAACAGCTACAGGCTCACAATTGGCATGAGCTTACCAGGATTGGTGCGGGAGCAGAGTATGAAGCAGCCCACATTCCCAGCCAGCAGCAGGTAGGGCAGCAGCAGGAGGAGGAGGTGGAATTGCAGCTCCCAGCAGTAAACAAACACTTCCCATGTGTATTCCCCATACACTGCAGCTTGCAAGGCCATGTGCAGGACAACAAACAAACAGTTTCTGTAACAGAAAGGGAACAGTCTATTTAATACTCGGCATCCTGATTAACAGGTCAAGTACACTCAGAGGTGATCCGCAAAGACTTTCCAAAGCAAGGAGACACCTCTTTTAGGTTTTCAGGCCAGCATGGATTACATATTAATAGAGTTTTCTCCATCTAGTTGGCTTCTCCTTCTCTTCTTCCCACATACACTCCTTTAAATATGCCAGACAAACTCACTTCTATTATTGTCATGTCCTTTGGATTTTTTTTCCAACAGTAGAGTCGAGTACAAAGCACCCTTGGTGCTGACAAAATATGCCACAGCAACAGGTCACAAAACATCTGCCCGAAGACATTTGCTGTGTGCTGCCCTGAAAGCAAAGAAAACCCCAGTAAAAGGTAATCTTAAAAACCCCTGTAATAATATAAGCAGCTGTTAAGAAAAAAGCATGGCAGGAGGTTAGAAAGGGCAAACACTGGTTCCAACCTGTCGGCAGACTACCGCTTCTGTGAGGCAAGCTGCACAACTGTTCGGCATGCAGGTTGGTTTGGGATGCATCATACTGAGCAACAACTTCCAGCAGCCTGGCAAATAGATGCTCATGTAAGCCACGCATTAGGAGACCAATGTTTGCTTACTACAGTTCTCTGCATTATACATCAGTTTGCTGGAATTTTATTATGAGCTTTAAATAACCAGTGATGTGTGTTTTACTACAGTGGGAAGTCGTTGCAGACAAGCTCTCCTCTACTGCTCTCTCCTACACCACTTCTGTGTGCAATCCAGAGGATCCCGCAGAGTGTCCTCTCAACTGCAGGGATACAAGAAGATACCCTCAAATGCTGTGCCTCACTGGACTTCTGCATGAACTGAAAAATCTCTTGCTTGAATGAGGTGATGCAGTCGAAGGGTGTGTGTGGAGGATCAAAGTGCCTCCAGCGCACAGCATCATCTAGCAATGACAACAACACCAGGCTCATCATATAATTGCTCTGTTGCTGACTGCACATTTGACAGTGTAACCCTCTCTTGGGCTGTGTTAACAGCAGAGAATCTGCACAGCAGACAACAAAACAACTGCCAGCACGCACTTAACAGCTGTAGATGTTACGACCCTGAAGTGTCTCATACTGCAGTTGCTGCCCCAGAGGAAAGGTATTTAAATCATTCGTGAAGCAGATCCTAAAGCACCAAAGTTTATGCGACACTACAAAATTCACATTAATACAGCAGGCCCCACATTGGCAGCTGTATGGCTTCTCCGTGGGCCACCTGGACATCCAAGCTGCTGGCCTGAGACTAATGGGATTTGTGGGAGAGGATGGGGATTGCTAGCTCTGTCTAAACTCAATCTGCAGCTGCCAGAGAGTCTGTTGCAATTCTCATGTGGATGCAGTCTCCCACCCAGTGTCACCAACATCTGTTACACTGGAAGCTACTGAGCCACATTATCTGTCAGTACGTTCAAATATTTCAGGGTACCATCTTCTAAACAATAAGCAAGGAACAAAAAGACAACAGTGTGGCAAACCTTAAAGGGAATCTGTAATCCCCGACAAGCACCCCTAACGAAGAGAGAATATCTAAGGATAATACTGAAAGCTCGGATGATGGGAGGAAGTCACCAATAGTAATCAGAAATACTAGTAAACATAATGTTGAAAGCGTTAAAAAAAAAAAAGTGTAAATACCTTGTGTGGAAGAGCCTGTGAAGCACCCTCTGCGTCACTCTCTGGAGCTGTGTGGGGATTACAAATGACAACACCTGAAGCAAATAAAAACACTGTGTTATCTGAACTGCACATTGCTTCTGCCTTGTGGGAAGTTCAAATAAAAATACAAGTCACTTAATCCCTCAGTTACGTATCTGTAGCTATATCACCAGGGAGGAAGCTCATTTTCAGGGGCTTCTAAGGTCATAAGAATATAGGCAGGCGTGTTGCTGGGGTTTTCAAAATGGGAGTCAGGTTCCACATTCTTGGGAGCCCAACAGGCACAAACAAATGTATCTAGGTTAATGTGTGAAAGTTATAAGGAGCTTACATCGGGTTATAGACTGGGTAACTGGTTAAGCAGGGGATAGAACTGAGCAATTTCTGAACTCCAATATGCTTCATCAGGACATCTGACAGATGCAAGTGGAGATAAGCAAAGGGATAAAGGCTGCTATCCTCCGGAAAAAAACCCCAACCCCACAACGCAACCAAAACCCAAACCCCAGCACATCCAAAAAATCCACAGTTTCTCCAACTACAGCTACGATACACCCTGGTAACTCCACGTCTATCTAATTGCTGTTTCAAAAACGGCTAGATAAAATGAAGAAGACTGCCTGTCTTCATTCAGTGAAATCCTCAGCAATCGTCTGCTAGGTAGAATTACTTGACTCTGCTATTCAGAAGATGACAGATCTCTATAGCAACACGCTGCTCCATCAGTGGTGGAATGTGGAGGAATTAGAGCAGCTGAGCCTATTTCTAGCTGACATGGAAAGAAAATATGCAGCGAGAGCGTCTTGTCTTAGATGCGAAAGACCAGAAGGCAAAAAGCATATGTAGAGTTGAGAAGATGTTAAATATTTTTCCTTTAACTGCTATGCCTCATATCAGCAGTTCAAGTGACAAGTCTTTTTAAAAAAAAGAGGCTGTGTGCTGCAATAGGAAACACATAACTAGACAGAAAAGCAACCTGCATGCAATTGCAAAATTCAAGTTTAACTGTGTGTTAGTACAGTCTAACATCACATTCCATATCCGTTACTTCCCCTTCATACAGCAGAGCAACCCCTTGTATTTCAGCCATTCCTTACGCCAAAGCAAAAGGCTCTTACAAATATGATTTGTGCTTGCAGCAATGACGAAAGTAGGAGAGAATGAGAAGACTTGTACAATGAATACAACCATCTCGCATGCTGGCTGCAAGGAAAACAGATGGAAGGTGGAAGCTGACTTGTCACAGAGCTAGAAACAGCCATGCTCTGTGCAAGTTAGTTATTTCATATTGCTCACAATTAATACTTTAAAGGATCTTACAGGAGTGCAGTCAAACAATTTCAACAAACTTCCAGGTTTCATTATTCCAGGTTTCATTATTCCAGTCAGAAATTAATTTAAAATATAGGGTCTAGAGAAACTATTTAGGATTACCTATATTTATTTCACACATACAAGTATCGATTACATTTCTCCAGACAGTGACTTTACATCACAGCAGTATTTTAATTGCTGATTGTTACACATGATTCATAGAAGCAGCTATTAAAGAATGGGGGAAAATAACAAATTTCTCTGCAGATGATCTACATGTCTATCGAGCTAAACAAAGTACAACATTAGTAATATAAATCAAAGTCTGTTTAGACCCATGTAAACAGCATTAAATATTATTTACAATTTAAATAATTCTCTTATCTTTTCCCTTCCAAGAATGCTGCAATTTTTTTTTTCCTTCTCCATTCAGACATAGCCCAATAGACAGAAAAATAAGCTAGTGCCTTTTCAACTCATTCCCTGTTTTTACAATAAAATGCCAATTCTTAATCCTCTTTTAAAGCTCTTCATTCCTCCCTCTTAGGAATCAACAGACTGCATCATTATTACAGAGTCACATTAAAGAGCTTCCCCTAAAACATTTGCTACTAGTTATAACTCTCTCCCTATTTTAATTGGCAAACCTCCTCCCACCTTTTTCCTCTTAATAAGAACAGCAAACACCATAAAACTGCAAATACTCGGGGCTTCATTATTATTTAATTTCTCAAAGCTGACATGTTACAGTGTAACTGAACAATGTACTTTTAGCATCACGAGAGGTTCCATCCTTATTACCACCCTGTGGCGACTGCAGCCAGCCAGACTAGCACGCGCAGGAACAGGAGCTGTAAGACGCAAATGTTTTTTTACTACCTGCTTGGGCAGGATTTCATCAGCTGAAAGGAAGCGTATTTATCTTTCCAATCCCAATGAGCACTAACTTGAGAGCAGTTGTCAAAATAGGATGATATATCAAATATACTGTGTCATCACCTTAACTATAAATACTAACATTTTTAATGGAGGAGAAATACAGCAGTTGCACTAATTTTAGCACAATGAACTCGGGCAGACCACCAGAACGGGAGATGATCATTACTCTGAAAGCTCAGTTCTTTACCTGGGTTGCACTATTGACACTTCTTAGGAGGAAACTCTCCTTCCTTCCCGAGCAGATGCAGAGTAGAGCAATAGAAGTGAGAACAAAACACAAGTAAATCAAGAGGAGCGTCAGAAAGTCCATCCTGAGCCCTGCAATGCAACAGAAGCAGCTTAGTAGTGCCCCTCGGTGCCAGCCCTCTGCAGCAGCGCCGGGGCCTGGCCATGCTTCCCGCCGTTTAGCGCATCACTAGAACACAGGAATGAAGCCGCTCAAAGCCCAGCCAGCGCAACCCGACCTCCTCCACGGGATTTATTTCCATCTCTTATCTAGTTCTGTATCTGTACAGCCTCAGACCCTGCGACAGGGCAGCTTGTTGACAGGGGACGGAGAAGCCGGGCGTCTGCCAGGCCTCGGGGCTCTGCCCG